CCCCTGCCCGCCACGTCCTCCGGAAGCGTGGACGGGCGTGGCTCTGCGCGTGGCCGCGCTGCCTTCCCGTGCCCTCCTAAGCACGGTCTCTGCGACCACCACGACCACCATCGCCACCACCACTGTGGCTAAACTGCTCCCCTCGGACGCTGACAGTTATGTTCACGCCTGAGATGGCATTTTAAATTATTTAAGTGCCCCTTGGCGCTCCTCTCCTTTCCTCTACCTGAACGTCAGCCGCAAGACAGCAGCGACCTCATGTCATCCCGACCTGGAACAGGTTTTGGGATATCGTAGGTGCTCTGAAAAAATTCACTGGATAAATGTCTGGCCCCACTGTCAGACCCCCTCTAAGGACGATGTAGCCCATTTGCTCTTAGGGCCCCAGGGGCCCCACCCCTAGCCCCTGTACCGGCTGGGCGGTGTGGGGGAAGGGGGTTCCCAGGCCTCTTCCTGGCCCCAGGTAATTAGCAGTCACCACCTCCGAAGGCAGATGCCCCAGCAGATGGTGCTGGCTGTGCCCAAGTGACAAGTCTCCCATGGCGTCACCTCCTGCCATAAACCCCTCCCCGATCAGCCAGAGCCTAGCCCTGGAGCCTCCAGGCAGCTGGAGAGGCTTGAGGGTGAGGCGGGGAGAAAGGACCCAGTGGCTGGGTTGGCTGCCCCCACAAAAGTCAGCTGAGCCCCAGCCCAGCCCCAGCCTCCGGACTGAGGGGTCTCCATGCCCCCACGTGCTTCACACCGATCACTTGAGCCTCTCCCATATCTGCATTGTTTCAGAGAGGGAGCCATCTCTTCCCTGGATCTCTTAGGCAGCCTCCACTCCTGTCCCACCCACTCCTATCCTAGTTGCTTTGCTTATTCTCGACGCTAGGATCATAGCCACTCACACACCCACATGAAGAACAAAACCCTCCATAGCTCTCCACTGGCTGAGTTCAAGTCCCGCCTGATGTCCACACACCTCGTGACTTAGTCCTAGCTCTGTTTCTTGAGGCCCAATCCCTCCTCATTCCCCAGCAGCCAAGCATGACCAAGCCCCCAAATCTTTGGATGGGTTGTGCTTTGTATCTGGACTTTACATCAGTGGCACCGATGGTGGGTGCCGTGCCACCCTGCACCCCACCTGACAAGGTGCTGTGAGTCCGTCTCTCCACAGTTCCCAGGCCAGGGGGTGGGACTTCCTGCCCTGAACCCCCCACCACCCCTGCTCCCCAACTACCCCTGACTGGGGTACCTTTGACCCAGCAGGTCGTGGGAGCAAGGTGCCCATTGTACAGAAAGCAAGGGGGATATTGTGCCAAGGGAGTGACTATACAGAGGTGAATGGCCCAGCCTGGCAGGGGCACATGCATAGAACTGGGTACGGAGGTTCCGCATCTCTTGTGTGGTCAGGAATGGAGGAGTGGGGGACCTGATGCTGCTGCCTGTCTGGAAGCAGCGGGAGGAAGCTTTACAGCATTCTTGTGGGGGCCGCAGGCTTTGGCAAGAGTGAATCAATTTCTTTGCTGTCAGGAGAATGGAATTTCATGGTGACTCCTTGAGGTCTGAAAACTGTTGAGGGGGTGGCCCGTCTAGCCACCCCCGCCTGCTTCCCCAGGCTCAGCTTCAGCCTGAAACACTCCCCTCCCCCTCCAGACCCCAGGTCTCCCTCTAGGGGCCCGCTGGGCCATACAGCCCTGCTAGGGAAGTGGGCTGTGGGACGGTGCTCAGCCCTGGACAGGACAAGGGGAGCTGGGGAGAGGACAGAGAGGGCTGACCGGGTTGCCAGGGAAGCCTCTTGGGGCCGTAGGGTCCTGGGGAAGAGGGGCTGGGGGTAGAGGCTGCCCCAGGGTCCAGCCTGCCTTCCAAACCCAGAGGAGCCACTTCTCAGCTTTAAGACCTTGAACCTGTGATGTTACTCCCCAAGCCTCAGTTTCCCCACTTGTAACACAAGGATGACATACCATCCAGACCAGGCAGACCAGCTCTGGCCCTGGCACATGGCTTCATGGGCTTCTTGGACCCCAGCCTTCCCCTCTGCAGGGCCCCTCCACCAGTCCCAGTTTGGGGCTCCAGGGCAGCTGGGTGCATGAATGGCCCAAGAGACCTGCCTGCTGAGGTCAGGTGGACAGCAGGCGCACGGGACCAGGACCTACATGACCAGGGGCCCTACCCTCCTCCCCGAGCCACCATCAGGCTGAGACAGTGTTCTGTCCCCATGAGTCCAGGCCTCCCCTACCTGCCAGGGCTCAGCCCAGGGATCTCCTGCTGGAGTCAGTGCCACCAGGTCCCCAAAGCCATGGGCTGGGTCTGCCCTTGACACTCAGGCCTAGAGGGGAAGGACTCGGGGCTGGCTTTGAGGCGGCCATCTGCCTTCCCTCCCCCGGGCTGTTCCTTGGGGCTGCTGCGGCCTGCCCTCCTGCAGGGTCCTGGGAAGATCTGTGGAGACATAATGGGTGACCCATTAACTCGGCAGGAAGCCATCCGAGGCGCCTGTCCACTCATCGGCTGATGGAGAGCGGCCCCGCTCAGTGTCTTGGGAACCAGCTTCCTCCAGGCCAACAGCAGTGCCCAGCGACAGAAACTCCTGGACAGGACTCAGCATGGTGGTGACTGTGGCTGGGGCAAGGCTGGCACCTCCCTGGGCCTCCCTGTCCTCTCCTGACACAGACACAGGAATTCCAACCCCCAGGCTGGGGCCAGGCGTCAGAACTGGCAGTGTGTGAAGCCCCCAGATGCCAGGGGGACCCATGGATTTCCTAAAGGCAGGCGTGGCCTAGTGAGTGTTCCAGCCCAGGAGCTTCTGTGAGCAACCCCTGCTGGCAGGAAAGCGGGTGATGGGAAGGTTGGCTGGGCTCAGCACAGCCGGTTCCCAAGGCCGGGGAAGGGTTACTGCAGGGTGGCACAGCTGATTCCCATTACTGCAGCTGGGGCGGGCACTGCCCTAGACTAGCAGACTCCAGCTGTGAGTAGCGCCCCCATCATTCCCAAGCCTGCCTGCCTGTTCTGCCCAGACCCCCTCGCCCGCTGTGTGGTCTTGGACCAGTGCCCTCCTCTCTGCGGGTCTGGGGACGTTACTTGACTCTGTAATAGGGATATGGGCTATTGCCTCACCCCCCCTGCCCACCAGGCTGCCTTGGGGTTGGTGCTCTGCAGCCATGAAGCCACGGCCTTTCCAACAGTGACCTGGCCCTTTCGCCTGCACCCTGGGGTCAGGTGTGGACAGAGAGGCCAGGCCCGTTAGAGTTCAGCCGACTTGGCCTCAGTGTCTGAGCAAGGCTTCGGGGGGCATCCTGGCCTGGGGCACCCTGCAGGGCCCACCAAGGGCTACCCCCTCCTAGAACATCCTCCCCATCCCCCTCTGCTACCCCCATCCTGGTGCTGATCACATGAGGTTGTAACTGCTCCTTTATGTCTGTGTCCCTGGGGGAAGAGGATGCCTCTTGCTGCTTGTCAGGGCCTGAGACAAAGTAGGTGCTCAGTAAACACTGGTTGAACTGATTGGGGGGGAATGGATATACAGATGGACAGATAGATTGATGGACAGATGGATAGATAGTTGGATGGATGAATGAATGGATAGACAGATGGAGGGTTGGATGGATGGAAAGGTGGATGGATGAACAGTTAGATGGAGGGGCAGATGGATGGGCAGACAGACAGACAGATGGATGGATGGATGGATGGACAGACGGCTGGCTGGCTGGCTGGCTGGATGGATGGATAGATGGATGGATAGACAGACAGATGAACGGACAGATGGATGGAGGGATGGATGGATGGATGGATGGATGGATGGATGGATGGATGGATGGATGGATGAACGGACAGAGAGATGGATGGATGGATGGATGGATGGATGGATGGATGGATGGATGGATGGATGGACAGATAAATGGAAGGATGGATGGATGGATGGATGGATGGATGGATGGATGGATAGGTGAATGGACAGACAGAC